TTCAAACCACACTGGTCACGCCTGTTGCTATACAAACTTGAACCATCTCGAGCATCATTTGCTCTGTGCTTCAAGTCGCTGCTTATGACGCTGCTTCCGGCATCAGTTATATAATATAATATAATATATAACTTAGGCTCTGCAGTTTATTGATATGATAACCTGAAATTTCTTAATAACAATGATAAATCATGTACAGAATGTTTTTACATGCACAGAAGGATATGAATTTATTTTCCACAGACTATGACATCAAGTCACCATCAGCCGTGGACTACTCAGACATAAATGAACTGGCGGATGATGTATCCGAGATGAAAGCTATTCTGCAGTGTGATACTGCATTGAAGGTGGAAGATGGAACAGAATATGATGCTGATGATGAGGACACAGGCTTGAAGTCTGACACCCAGCTCATGCCACCTCCACCTCTGCCAGGTGCAGGAAAAGATGAGAACGCAAGTGAACATGAAGCTACAAGTGGAGACGGCAGACGGCGGAAACTGGACACCCCATTAGCAGCAATGCTGCCTTCCAAATATGAGAATGTTGACATCACTGAAATTTTTCCAGACTTCCGTGTGGACAAGGTATGGCATCATGTTGTATTTACACTTCACTACAGCACACAATAAGTCTTTTCGGCCTGCTGTGTCTTCACCAGTTGTTGCTTGATAGCAGCTCCCAGTGCTATAGTTTCCACAGTTTCTGTGTTCAGCGGCTCCTGTCCTTGCTGGCAGGCACCAGTCTCACACTTACTATTCATGGCCACAACCCCAGGCCATTGTCTGCCACCTAGCAAACTCTGTTGACCACTGGCTAGTATTGACTGCCTGCAGGCTCACTTTCTTAATTCCTAACCGCTGACTGCAGTTCCCCGGACAAAACACCACCTACAGCAGCTCTTCTGTTGTTGTGTGTTTCTTCTCTACCAATCCCTCCACTGCTGCTTCAGCCTCTTTTGCCAGAGATACATGTTTACAGAGCCATTGCTTAGCAGTGGCCAACTCTAGGTTTCTGTTGCCTAGCAATGGATGTCTTCACCACTTTGAATATTCTGACTTTCAGCCATCATGTCAAACTATTTAAGAAATACACAGTTTGTCTAGCTAGATCAAGCATATGCCAGTAAGGCTCTGCATTGCACGGCCAGTAAAGATTAAAGTTTCATACTTATTATGCTGCAGGTCCTTTGTTTCTCGCGACTATTTGGTCCAGGCAAACCAAGCAGTCTACCACAGGTCTGGCGCAGTGTACGGAAGCGACGGCGACGGCGTAAACAGCATCACCATGATCACTCTGACTCTGGATCTGATCAAGACAATCAACGAGACAAGAAGAGAGGATGGACATTCAACTTTGCACCACCACCAACACCAGACATGTGCCAGTCTGATGATGAGGTGATTTTCTGACACAGTTCTTATTCCCTTGTAGGGCTGTGGCCTCTTTCCCCAGTTGTGCGGTTCATATCTTAGTCTGTTTCAGAACTGAATGATTTGCAATGTTGTAGGACAAACTTCTGCGTCCAGTGGAAGACAAATCACAGAGTGGCAACCAGGAACAGGGGGATAGTAATGATATGGAGCCCAAGGTGGCGGACTGGAGATTCGGGCCTGCACAGGTCTGGTATGACATGCTGGAAGTGCCAGAAACAGGCGAAGGGTTCAATTACGGCTTCAAACTTAGAGATAAGGTACATTAAACTCTGCAGTTCATGAAGTTCCCACTTAATGTTAAATGGTTACTTCTCACTTCTCTTAATTAAACATTATTTTAATCAGAGCTTTTATGTCACAGTCTGCAGTTAACTCTTTCAAGGCCACAAGACAAATAGTTGCATGTTATGTAGCATGTATGTTTGTGTCCATGATACAGCTTCTAGTTGATTTTTAAAAATATTCCACTCATCTAATGCAAGGTGTTGCATTGTGATAATTTTTGATAGACTCTTGACACCTGTTGGCTGAATTTTGTTCCAAATTTTTAAAAATATTTTGGCAGATGGAACCAAGATTTTCAAAAGTATGTTGTGATGTGTAGACCCAATTTCTGATACATCCCTCTCCTTTGCTCTTCTATGTTGCAAGGAATTCCACATGCTGTGAGACTGTTAGGACTGATATACATATTGTAACGTGTTTCGTTACCGAAGACGCCGTTTGGATTGCTAATTGGTTTATTTAACAACCTACAAGTCTTGGCTACAATTAAGTATACACTGTTACGGGTTTACACACTTTAGAACCCTACACACAAATCTCATCACACTATCGCGATTCACTCGTTACAACTGAACTCGGTGACTACTACAATTCAACTGGCTTCGTAGGCAGTGTAGTTCTCTTATGTCTTAGGTTCTCTGAGCAGTGGTTATGAAGAGCTTTGTCTTGTGAGATATAAGGCTGTGTAAGTTGACAGTAGTGTCACATTTTATGGGCATGACTAATAGACGGAGTTTGGATCGGATGATTGGATTTATTGATTGCTCCTTTACAGTCACTCGTAATCACAATAAATTACAATAACTCACAGTAGGTGACTGAGTTCAGACTGGACTATTGACTGGCTCCATTCTGGTCTCTCTGTTTTGGTATGATCTGGATTTCCTGTTATATAGCGTATCCATATTCACAGAAATGCCTGTTGATCACCTGTACCCTGTATCCATGGACATTTCAGCCTGTAGCGGGTTGGTTTCCAAGAATCCATCTCCATGGAAATGTGTTTGTTGACTCATTCCCTAGTCATGGGTCTGCATGTCATGATAGACTACATGGCTTTCTGTCCCAGAAGATAAAACTCATGACATTGTCTACTTCTTTCTGTGAGTTTTGTGATCACTCAGCAAACTTGTACATATTTTTGCATGCAGCAGCCTGATGACGAAGAGAAGAAGGATGTAGCTGAGGACTTCCCGGATGACTCATACTTGATGGTTTCGCAGCTGCACTGGGAGGATGAAGTGGTGTGGAATGGGGACGATATTAAGCATAAAGTAATTTCTGTATAATAAACTGCAGCATTAATGGTTTCATAAGATAAGCTGGAAGGAGTCTGAATTAAAATGTTGTTACTTCTTAGTAAGTTTGTATACCTCATGTTTTTCACTGTTATCTTTACTGTAGATCATGTTAAATTGTTTGAAAGTTTGGTCTTACAATTTACTGAAATAAGTATCTTTTATTTTTGGGGGGTGTGGTTGGTCTCCTTGCCAAAGGCTAAAACTTTAAAGATGGAATAACACTCAAATTAGAAAGTTAAAGACTACACATGTACAGCAAAACCTCCATTTAATGTTTCTCAGTTTATGGTTTTTCCTCATTTACTGTTCACTTCCTGTGATCCCATGTCAGCAATCTCTATGTTGAATTTCATTCATTTAAGAACTTCCTCAGTTTATTGTCCAAAGCCACTACTTCCCATGGTAAAGGTAAAAGGTAAAGCTATCCCTGTAACAGGCCATGGAGGCCCATTTGTGAGACATCAAGGCTTGGCATTTTCTGGACAGTTGGCTTATGGATGGTGCTGAGGTTGTCAGCCTTACACACTGGCTGCCCTTTACCCCCAGGAAGATTGTTGGTACTCATTTCTGTTCGAGGCTGAATCGACCCCAGGGCCATAATGCAGCTGGAGGGATCAAATCAAATCCACAACCTTCCAGCTTGTAGCACAGTGCCTCAACGAACTACACTACTCTGTGCCCTCTTCACTTCTCCCCACACAGATCTTAAATCTCATGGCATTATCCATTCAACATGTATTTGAGATTCTATGAAGTCATCTTAGTCCTGAAACATATATATATATATATATATATGTGTATACAGTGGAGTGTTGTTATTCTTGCAGATAAACATGTATTTCAAACATACAGCCATGGTTTTGGGGGTGTTTAATGTGTTAACATAAGATTGCAACATTAAAGCAGATGACATCAGGCATGGAAGTGAAGGCAAAGGATTTGTAATTGTAGGTTTTGTGTGGAATGGAGATATTCTAGAAAATGTTGCTGTCTAAGCTAAACAGCTGAGATGATTAGTGGAAGTTATTGACAAAGTGGCACTGGGGCTGTTTCTCTCTGAGTACTTCAATTTCCCCTACCATTTGTCATTCCACCAATGGTCCATGCTTGTCTGTCATCAGGGGCTGCTGTAGTAGATACAGTTGAGGCCACAGTACCAAGGGATTCAGTCCTTCACCACTCTAGAAGAAGCTAGGAAGGTGATGTGGTCCTCAAGATAGTTACTTGATTAAATGATTTCCTGTATTCTGTCAAAAATAGTTGTATGTCAACATCCAGCATGTTCAGCTGTTACCATTTATGATCTTCAATTCATGCTTCATTACACACATTTGCAATTAATTAATAGTTGTTAATAAAGCAGGATACATTAAAAAGTATTCTGAAATTCTGTTCTGTTCTGTAGTGTTCTGATTTGATGCAAATCCTTTGTGTAATGAATATTTTTTTTCTGGTCCCAGCTGAAAATCAATATGAACATCATATTATTTTCTTGTATTTACTAAATAATCTACAATAAATGTAAGACATTTTTGACTTTACAGAACTTGTAACTTAATTCTGTGCAGGTGTGACTGAAATAACAATTGATACATTTTCTCTCTGTTATAAATTGCTACTGCTTGTGCCATCGTAGTTGCTTTGGTTCTTGACTGAGGTTCTCTCAGTGTTTATTTGACATCATTAATTATTTTACAGATATCACTTGTTCACTAATTTCCATTTCTAATGCAACACAAACCGTTCACAGTCTCTCCATTATTTGAAAATGTCTTTAAAATTATATTTCATTTCAACGTGTTTCAGTCTTGCAAGGCCATCTTCAGAAAATCTGAAACTGAAACTGCTGCACTGCACCAGTTCATATGTCAGTGCATCTCATGCTATTTGCATATCGTCGTTTACACTAAAATGTGTTTGTTTGAGAACGAACACTCTCTGTTTGCTCCACGTTATCTTCATTCTGCAGCGTTCATTTTATGCCACCTTTGTGTGTAGTTCTCACTAGTCGCCTCTATATCCCTTGTATTGATTTTAATGACATTTGAAAGTAAAAGAGACACTGTGAATGGTTTGTTTCATTAGAGATGGAAATTTGTGAAAGAGTGATACATCAGTGCAACAGGATGCTGAAATATAATATTATTTTACAGATAACATTTATTGTTAATAAATTGTTAAATTTATTACAGAATAATGTTAAAAATAATTGTTAATAACATTAATTGTATGTATATGTGTATAAACGGTTCAACTACCTATATATAAAGATATATATTGTAATGTGTTTTACTACTGAAGACAATGTTCGGATTGTTAATTGGTTTATTTAACAACCTACAAGTCATAGCTACAATTAATTATAACACCGTTGTGCTGCTTAGGCATTGCAGTTCTCTTATAAACCCTCAGCCAGACAGAGGAAAGTGCGCCTCGCTTCCCTGTTGCATAATTGACGTGTTTACAGGCGTTAGTGGGCAACGCTGTCAAGAGTTGTTTACTGCTGTGTAGTAACCGCAGTATCCCTTGTTACGTCACTGTGGGAAGTGCTGTTACGTCACCGTGGCAATGGTTGCCTGATGCAGTTGCTCTTCTGTTATGTCACTGCGGGGGAGGGGGTGTTTACCGAGCGTTGCATACTGATGGAAGGAGTGGGGGTATGTGACGTCACTCGCGAGACCGCAGAGTTCACGTGCCCCCACTTCCCGTTGCACCATCCATGTCACAATATAATACATATATCATAGTTCTTGACAGTATATCTTATAAGAAGATGAATGGTTCTGGGATGTAATTTTCCATAACCCGCACCTTGTGAAACCCTCAGTGTAGTGTTAAAAAAGCCATTCCCTTGTTTTCATCAAGTATGAATTTCACTATATACAAAAAGAAAGCTTGTGTATTTACATGTGTGGCATGCATTGCTAAATACAGGTGATGCAGAAACTGAACTGCAAGACAAATGCTGCTGGATGGGTACCCAGCAGTGGCAACCGGACTGCCCAGGCATTCAGCCAGCCAGGCAAAGGCGTTCCACACATAGTGGGAGGAACAGTGAGGTTGGCTTCCAGTCAGCTGGCAGGACTGTCAGCTTCTGCAAACAAGCAGAATAAGTCGTCTCAGATGTATGTATCTTCATGTCATTACAAATATTGTATTCACAAGAAATTGTGACTGGTCCACATCCTGAGCCAGGTGAATACAGTTCACATCATCACACACTACTTATCTGAGATCCATTTTAATATTATATTCCCATGTATGCCTACATCTACCAAGTGGTTTCTTTCCTTCAGGTTTGCCATTTAATATGCTGTATGCATTTTTCTTCTTGTCAATACATGTTGCTTGTTCTGCCTAGCTTTCCCTCTGTAATTTGATTACCCAAATAATATTTAGTGATGACAAGTTGTGAAGCTCCTTATCTTGCAGTATTCTCCATCCTCTTGGGGCATACATAAGTACACCACAACTTCTTGCCCCATCCTTTTCATTTCACTGTATAATCTTCCTCTCTTCTCATTCAGTACCAAGTAACATCTGCTGTTGATAGAAAACAAATATGTATTTACATTCTACCAGTAGTTCCCAGTGTCGTTGCCTCTTTCAGGCAGCCTGAATCAAAGCTTTGTCGAAAAGTTGAGAATTTTTCACTCTTGACAGGCTGATGAACAACAAGCACCCTCAGAGGACTGAGGACAATACTGATGACACCTGGTACTCCATCTTTCCTGTCGAAAATGAAGAACTGGTTTATGGTGTATGGGAGGATGAGGTTATCTGGGACTCCGAGAATATGACCCACATTCCCAAACCAAAGATTCTTACACTGGATCCGAATGATGACAACATTGTGTTGGGTATTCCTGATGACATCGACCCAGCAAAACAGCGAATTGATTCTGTGGTTCCTGCAAAAGTTAAAATCCCTCATCCACATGTGAAGAAATCCAAAATTCTCCTGGGCAAAGCAGGAGTAATCAATGTGATGGAGGAAGACACGCCCCCACCACCACCAAAATCGCCAGATAGGGATCCCTTCAACGTGTCCAATGACAGGTAACATGATTTTAGTGGATCAGTTTGCATTCTAGTTTGCATATCCTCCTTGGGCAAGGTGCCCCTCCTATCCAGATGCAAGTATTCCACTCAAGTTTGTCTATTCTTGAAGCAGGGTAGATTGTAACTTGTGTAGGTAGCCTCATGAGAGAAAAGTCCTGCATAATTATATTTCAGTTTCCCACTGCTAGATGAATACTGCAGAAAGGCAAAGGTGTCCCTGTAACAGGCTGTGGATGGCCATAGGGTTGTGAGACATCAAGGCTTCCACATTTTCTAGACAGTGAACCCACAGGTGGCAGGGATGTTGTCAGCCTTACGCACCAACCACCCTTTACCCCCAGGAGGATTCGTGGTACTCATGTCTGTCAAAAAGTAGTAACTTTCCAGTGATGATATAACAGTCTGAATCATCATTCACACAGTAGATGGAGTATAGTGTTATCGCACTGCAGTATCCATGCCGTGGCAGTACAGTAACTGAATGAACTTACCAACATAGTTTAGTAGTGCAATGAACATATAGTGAAAGCTGTAAATTTGGCCACCTGCCACAGTTGCCTACACTTTTTGCAGAGCTGGCAAAAGCATGTTAATTCATACATGGCCATTTGTCTGTCTTGTTGTCTTGTCCATTTTGGCATTTCATGCTATGATTCTGTACATGTTTTATCCTCTCTATATTGACCACAAGGAAGTGACTGGTTTTCTTGTACCAGTCTGTGGAAATACAATCTATTCACCCATCTGGCTCTTTTATATACTGATAGTGCTGAACACCCTTACTGCACCTTTGTCATCAGACTGATAGTTACCAGTCCTGAATGGTTTCTGTTGCTGTTGTTCAGTTTACCAGACTGCATTGCATACTTTTCATTGATTATTAAAATTCATAAATAGAAATATCTCTTCCACTAGTATGAAATCACTACAGACACAAAAATGAAAAATTTTACACTGTTTTCTGTAACACTCAGGGTTACTAGGTTTTTGGACTTTATCCATCTTCCAGTATACCAGAACACTAGAAGGCCAGATGATGGGCAAAATCCAAAAAAAACCTGTTATCCTGAGTGTTATACACTGTTGTCAGAATCCTATAGACTATATTCTGTAAGTTGGCAGGGTTTGAGTGGAATCACAAGTGGCCAGAATATGTTTCATCATATATTTCTACCATCAAATACAACTCAGTATGCGTTTATCTTTTATCCATTGTCTTTGGTCAGTAACCCAACATATTTCATCTGTTTCTCTGCATTGTCGTCAGCATACAGTTTATCAGTCGTAAACAGCTTGAAGACGAGGAGAATACTGGTGACACGAACCATGACAAGTCAATTTAAACAATCAGCCCACCCCTCTTTCTGTCTAGGAACAGCTGTTATTGTTACACAGTACAGCATGGGTTTGCCTTCCATCATTTGCCGTTTCCACTTCTTTGTGTAGAGATGGACAGCAAGTAGCACAGGAAATTGAAAACAAATGGAGAAGACAAAGCTCTCATAAAAGTAATGTTATTGTTCAATGGGTACCCCAACATTAAATATGTTACATGTTTCAGTGATGACAGTCAGTGGTGTTTAATGCCTTATTGCATTCAGTAGTGAAGGAATTTGATTATCAAGTGTTAAATTAGCATTAAATAGCAGTTTAACAGGGTGTCATGTGGAACAGTTATATGGCCAAGTTCAAAATAATGATTATAAATTACATGGAAAAGAATGTTAATCACCCTTTTTCTTTATAGGAGTCATTATCATGTCATTATATGCAGATGTAATTCAGTTGATCATGTGTAAGGAGCCAGGTTAGTGTAGTCGGTATAGCAACTAGCTATGGGATGGAGAAGCAAGTAATCACATTTCAAGTCTCAGTAGGGTGAAGAATTTTCTCCACGCCATCCAGACCAGCTCTGAGGTCCATGCAACCTATCCAATGGGTACAGGGGGCTTTTTCCCCGGGGGTTAAGGGGCCAGGGCGTGAAGCTGACCACTGACCTCCAGCTAGTGCTGAGGTAAAGAAAATGTCGTTTTATACATCCACTCTCCCATATGTCTTCATTATACAGGGTGTCCCAGGAGGAATGGACCAAACTTCGGGAGGNAGGGTAAAGAAAATGTCGTTTTATACATCCACTCTCCCATATGCCTTCATTATATAGTGCTTAATTATTTAAGCACAGGGAAAACTTTATCTCAACTGAACATGTAAAATTATACTGTGAAATGTAGTATTCATACATTTTACATGCTAAAACTTTCAGACAGAAATTTGTGGTTAAAAGTGCATAAAAGCAGTACATGATCATTCATTTTTAGAAACAGCAAAAGTTTGATCCATTTGTTATCTTTTTTAGATATTACATGCCACGATCGTCTGAGTCTTCATTGCGACTTAAGGTGGGTGGCGGCAACCTGATTCAGCACTCAACCCCTGTGGTAGAGCTCCGTGCGCCTTTCGTGCAGACCCACATGGGTCCAATGAGACTCCGTAACTTCCATCGTCCACCCATGAAGAGGTTCTCCCACGGGATTCTTGCACATCCTGGACCTCATCCAGTTCTTCCGCTTCTCAAACATATCAAGAAAAAGGCAAAGGTATGTGATGTACAAATTAGGTATGTCCAAAATTATGTAATAAATTAAAACAACTTGTAGGCATTAAAGGTGATAACTAGTGCATCTGCTTGTGCCTTACATTTTATGTGGAACTGAACAAAGCTGTTATTTGTTTACCATTGTTTATATTCTAACTTTGTGGCCAGTTTCAGTTGTAATAAAACACTCCTTCTTAAGAAATGGAAGTGTCACTGTTAGAGTCTGCTTATGTGACAGCTGTGTTCAGAGGTCTGTAGATTTTCATGTATAAGGCCTGGCAGTTTTCTGAAAATATTCGTTCAGTCATCCAAAAATGCAGTTCCTCTCGAGTTGTTCCATTTCCATATCAGGATGTATGACAGCAGGAACCTAAATAGCTTTACAGCCTCTCTGCATCTACAGTAAGTCATAGTATGTTCGTGTGCAGCCATGAAGAAAATTAAAGGTGGTTAATTATTTAATTTTATTTTTTTTGGATGGGATGAGACTGAGTCCACTTGGTATGTCAGCCACTATTTGGCCTATTGTACCAGTCCCAGATGATAGGCTGATTAATGAATGCAGGGCAGTTGGTGGAATGGGAAATGGCAGGGGAAACTGAAAAGTACTCTGTGAAAACCTGCCCCAGTGCCACCTTGTTCACCACAGATCCCATGTGACGTCACATGGGATGGAACTCGGGCTACAGTGGTGGGAAACTGACGACTAACTGCCTGAGCTATGGCATGGCGCTGTAAAATGTGTAGCTGGCTGCAGATACATTTTCTGAAAGCACAGATATTAAATCCTATTGGCTTACTGACTTTCCGAATTCACGCATGGGTGCAATTGAATTTTAAATCATTCATGAAAACCTGGTGATTCCCTAGGGGGTTGTGCCCTGCAGTTTGAGGAACCAAGTGATGTGTGAATATTAATAAATTGGCAGTTTGCTTGCCTGGTTATACCTGAATATTAATGATCTGTATTTATTTCTTAAGCAACGAGAGCAAGAACGAGCTGCCTCAGGGGGTGGGGATGTCTTCTTCATGAGGACTGCTGAAGATCTTACAGGACGGGATGGAGATTTGGTTCTAATTGAGTTCTGTGAAGAACATCCACCGCTTATAAATCAGGTGAACTTTCATTGGTTGGTTAATTTCAATCTGTGACTGGAATTATGATCAGAATGTTTCATAAGTTTCCCTTTATCTAGATCAGCAGGAAGATTTGCATTTTCTTTGTCAGTAGGTTTGTATAAGAAGAACTTTTCAGCATGGAAATTTAGATAAAAAAATTGAGATTGAGTTAGTCCCAGTGACCATCTTCTTGCATTCTGCCTGTATAATCAAACTGTCCTCATCCTACATAATTTAACGCTGAAGATCGAGGCACTATGTTCCTCTGACATATTGGTATCTGCCTAGAAGTTTGTAAAGTGTCATAACCCATAAGATGACTATCTGAGTCTATTAATAAAGTCTGTTTCTACCTCTTCAGTTATGTTTTGTCTTCTTTTCTAGGTTGGAATGTGCTCCAAAATAAAGAACTATTATAAGAGACGGGCTGGCAAGGATCAGGGACCACAAGAGTACCGATATGGAGAAGTGGCATATGCGCACACTTCTCCCTTTCTGGGTCACTTGCCGCCTGGGCAGTCATTGCAAGCAGTAGAGAACAACATGTATCGAGCCCCCATATATGAGCATAACGTTCCGGATACTGACTTCCTGGTCATCAGGACAAGGTTTGGAAGCACGATCGCCTTTCCATGTTATTGTTTATTTATTTATAGAAGTAAAAGAAAGAACTAAAATATTGGAGGGATTTAGAGAATTGCCTCAAAGGACAAATTATTAAATGATAGAATACTATGGTATAGGCAGATTTTAAGAATTACACAGAGCCAGTGTTCTAAAATAGATATTGAAGTGAAGCTAAAAGGAAATCTCTCAAGAGGAAGAAAATGGGGGGAATTTGGGGAGAATGAGGAACTTGGGGAAGGTAGGAGTAGATGGAGAGATTAGGTTGCTGTCTGGCCCATATAAAAACATAAACACTGAAGGTAGAAAATTCGTTAATTTTTTATTTAACAGCTCTGTCAGTAGTAGATTGTACAGCATTGAATGGTAGGATAGGTAGTGAAAATGAATTGAAATGTACATGAAAGGAAGTGGAGATGGCATAATGTAAGACACTGTCCTGGTATTTGCCTGGAGGGACTGAGGAAAGCCATGGAAACCTCAGTCTCTGGGCTGTGATTTGACTTCTCAAATATAATGCAGGCATGCTGCCCATTCATCTGTGAGGTTTTCTTTCTCATTTTATATTGCCTTACTTCAAGGAAACTCTGTCTCAGTGGTCCAGTGTTAATATGCTCACCATTGGACCCAAGGATTGTGGGTTCAAATCAGGGCAATGGCGATAAAAATTAGTGGCACAACTTCCTTCAGAAGGGAACTAAAGCCAGGGGTTTGTATTTACAGCATGTACTAGGGGCGTTCAAAAATGATTGACACCATTTATTGGAAAAAAATACGTAAGTATTATATTAGCGGTATTTCCCGCCAATGTCTATGCACCTTTGCCATTGTTTTGGCAGTTTCGGTATTTGCACAGCAAACCATTTTTTGGGGGTATCCTGGTGCCACTGCTGGACAACTGCCTGAAGCTCGTAGTTGGAGGTGACTGTCTTACCCCGAATGATGTCTTGCATTGCATTGAATAGAGTGTAGTTGCTAGGGGCAAGATCGGGCAAGAATGACCGATGAGGCAGCACGGTGTACCCTAGAGCACCCAGGGTGGCAATGGTCTGCTGACTGCTATGTGGCCGCACCTTGTCATGTTGGAGAAGAACGCCACACCCCCATTTTACGTGGTGGCATTGGAGCAGTGAATTGCAGTACCAATCACTGTCGATGGTCGTACTGGGGGCAGCCAATCCAACAGAAGGATCCCCTCATGATCCCAGAACACAGTCGCCATTTGCTTCCGGATGAATAGTCCAGGTCGTGACTTCTTGGGAGGAGGGCTCCCAGCGTCCTTCCACTCTGTGGCCTGGCAGCACTGTTTGACCTGTGCGCAGTAGCAATGTCATCTCATGGCCATAGGTGGCACTACAGTATGTCTTTGACACTGCTGCTTTTCCGGAGTTATGGAGGGAGTGTCAATCATTTTTGAACTACCTAAATGAAAGAACTTTTCACTCATGAGAGATGAGTGAGTGCAAAATTAAACACCCATTTTGGTTGCCCAAAAGATCTGCTGTTGTGGTCCCTCAACTGTGGAGACCTCCAGTGGACAAGCATTGAACAACTTAATCCAACTGAAATATGCAACTGGATAACATAATTCACCCAAATGCTGTCAGAATGGAAAATGAGTTATAAATGTGCCAGCCAGTTGAGGTTAAAAATGCAAATGACTTAATTGTCAAAGTGTGGCACCAACCAGCCACCAACATGTTTCAAGGACAAATGTTGAACATGTGCTCTTCACAGACTGATTGAAAGAAAGAGACAGAAACAGCAGATTCAGGGGCACTTGCCAACAAAAATAAAAGATCATATTACACTTTTTTCTTGAGTTCATGTGGAGCTGTAGAATTCCAGAGCCAACCCAATGTTTAGCTGTGTCTGAATTTGTATACTATCTATAAAAGCTTTCCTGAATTTGTACTTATTGCAGAATGGACTGTCAGGCAGCAGTGAGAGATGTACCTACACTTCAGCTGGTATTACACTCTTGACCTGCACCAGAAACAACTTTCTGTTGCTGATAATGTATATATTCAGTGAAATCATGATTTAATGCATATAATAATGGGTCAGGGTCCTCCAGTTTGGGGGGGGGGGACACAAGACTGATGACCTTGCTCTGTAAAAAAAAGTTGCAAAATCTAACGAAGTGAAAACCAGATGGGTCTATTTCAAGACAAATCTGGCAGAATCTACTATGGAAGGCTATGCCTCAAAAGGGTTTGTTTTGCCAGTGATGCTGGTGATGAATGGTGGATTAGAGGCAAGGGTTATTTGTAGGAACTTTAGATAGAGATACAAATTTGTTTTTTACAAGTAAGCTCTGCCAAAAACATGTCATCTAGATGTAAGCAGCATGTTGTTCTTTCAAGTTTGGTATCTTAGTGTAAATATGTTTGTCTTACTAGAACTTTACTAGTTGTTAAGGTTAGGTGTTTTGGAAGAAGTATCTATTTTTCACAATTTTTCCATTGATAGTTCAGTGGACTTTATGATAGCAGCAAACATACTAATCATGCTTGTGGTCCCTTGGCAGGCAGCAGTATTACGTTCGAGAGATAGATGCCCTGTTCGTTGCTGGCCAAGAGTGCCCCCTGTATGAAGTGCCGGGCCCTAACTCAAAACGAGCTAACAACTTTGTTCGAGATTTCTTGCAGGTGAGTGTTCTCCAACACAGATTCCAGACGGCTGAGAACAGCAGACTGTTGGGAGAATTATATGTTGCTTTAGAAGAGTTGAAATAGCAGCTCAGCAACAAGTCTCATAATCTGCTGTCCGTATCTTGTCATTTTGTATGAAAAGTACTGTCTTCTGGGCCATGATTCTATATAGTCTGGCAGAAAGTTACATATGTTTCAGAGGAACCTTCTGCCTCTGTCTTCATTGTAGAAGAATATTCATCTTCCCTGAAGATGGAGACAATAGGTTATTCTAGAACACAGGTAAGTTTCTACCAGACTATGTGGAGTCACATCAAAGAAAGTGATTTTTACTATTTACATAGTACAAGTACTCCTCTTCACTGGGTAGCGGGGGCTCTTTCCCCTGGGATAAAGTGGCAGGGGCATGAAGCTGACCACTCACCTCCAACTAGTGCTGAGGTCAAGAAAATGTGGTTCTGTACATCCACTCCCCCTTAAGCCTTCATGGCATAGTGCTTACTTAGTTAAGCACAGGGACAGCTTTACTAATGAGAAAGCCCATTGAAATTCAGTGGGTACTGATTTCCTTTGTATCATCATCCTTCAGTCCATGTATCCTTTCATACCTTTACCTCATTCCAGCTTGTCTCCATTAAACAGTGAATTAAGTTACATCTGATCTTTGAGAATGACAACATCTATGCATATGTAGTCACAAATTGTCTCCTATAAAATGTTTGTGATTAGGCTAACTATATCATGCAGGATGACATGGAAAGGACACAGTGGTAAATACATACAAGATTTTGGGTTCAAAACATCTTAGGGAGGCAATGTGTCAGACCTAACCATTTCATAATAAAATTATTCTTAGAGGAATAGCAGCAGAATGCAAGACAGAGCCACAGCATTAAGACAGCTAACAGATCTTTTATATATGTGGCAGAGTACAGATATTTTGGAATGACAGTAACAAATAAAATTGTACTTAAATAAATTAAATGCAGATCAAATTCATGGAATTTCTGCCATTGAGGTCAGAATCTTTGATCTTCTCACCTGCTATTTTTTATGTATTCATAGTGGGGTGAGACTGAGTCCACTTGGTACTGTGGCCACAACTGACCTATTGTACCAGCCCCAGGTGATAGGCGAGGGTGATTGTAGAGCCATTGGTGGGATGAAAATTGGCAGGTGAAACGAAGTACTCAGAGAAAACCTGCCCGAGTGCCACTTTGTTCACCACAAATCCCACAAGACCAGACCTGGGCTGTTGTGGTAGGAAGCCGGTGACTAATTGTGTGAGCTATGGCGTGGCAGGCTATCTGAAAACATGAAGATTAAAATGTACAAAACTGTCATTTTGTCTGATGTTCTATATGGGTGTGAAACTTGGTCTCTGACATTAAGGCAAAAACACAAACTGAGGGTGTTTGAGAACAAGATGCTGAGGAGAATATTTGAACCTAAGAGTGATGAATTAACAGGAGGCTGGAGAAAATTGCAACATAACTATTGAAATTAATTTTTTATGAAACCAATGTAAGAACAAGATTTGAGGTTCTTGTGGTGGATGCTATAAGATTACTGTCATCTGGGATGTCATGCCATGTAATCTGGTAAGATTGTTACCAACTTTTTTTGGAGGAATCCACTGTTTCCATCTTTTGCCCTGTAAATGGAGGCTTTTGGTTCCTCCAGAAAAGTTGGTAACGCTCTACCAGGCTACATGGCATGGCATCATTCTAAGAGCTTATTTTAGTTTAGTTCGTGACAGAAATGTTATGTCCTCAGTTGAATGTGTAACCTATATCTCCTTCACATGTCCAAGCTCTCTGCTTTTAGGGCCACAGAAAAGTGTCCCTGAGAGATAGCAATGCTCATAGTTATACTAGTAACTGAGCTAAGTGTAAATCCAGAAATCAATGATACAAGGAAGATTGAAGCCAGCAGAGATGCAGCAATGCATGGGAACCTGATTTCCATAAAAATGAATGAGAAAAGTCAGTAATGGAATAATTTTTTTATGTGAAATTTGAGATTCCCACAGCAGTAATTGTGCTTTTTGGGGTGTGACACCACATAGTCTGGTAGATGTTTACTGGTATTTCGCACCACCATGCTCCCTCAAATCTTCACAGAAATATTGACAGCATGTTCCTCCAAAGTGTTCTTTTAGTTTGGTAACCCACTGTGACATTATCATCACTCAGCATTAAAGTTTCACACAGACCAGAAAGTCAGTTCACTAACATTGTCCAGTTTGAATTCCTGGTTAGTTTTATATGTACTGTTCATTGTTTGTAGTCTTAATATCGAGTCCTGAATGTCCAATGCAGGTTTTCATATATCGTCTGTTCTGGAAAAGCCGAGACCTACCACGCAGGATAAAGATGGATGATATTAAGAAAGCATTTCCTTCACATTCTGAGAGCAGTATTAGGAAGAGGCTGAAACTGTGTGCTGATTTCAAGAGAACAGGTACTGCCATCTTTTTGGTTGCAATGAAAATTGTAAATTGATACAAATTATTCAGAATACCTCTTCTTTTTGTATTAAAATAATGTAAATCATTACTCAGAATTACTGGGGTTTTGGACTTTGTCCATCATCTGATATTCTATAAACTAGAAAGAGCTAACCTCAATCACTGGGCCTTCTTTCTAAGGGGGCCCATACATGTATGTGTCTGGCTTGCGAGTCCGACTTGGCTAGGGTTCCAATGAGCCAAACTCGTCTGTGTGTGGTGAAATTAATCCGAGCCCGGCTCCTTGCCGAGCCAGACTCGTACATGTATGGGCCACCTAAGGGACCTAACAGATAAGTGTCTTCCCTCCTTTACCTGAGGATGGAAACAGGTATTGTGTTTTCTAGTCTCTAGAATACCGCACAATGGATGATTATTCAGCCTAGTTATAATTTTGTTCTATTTAACCAAGAACAGTATAATATAATTATTATTAGATAGGGCAAGGTGGTCTCAGTGTAAGACAGTGGGCTCTTATTGAGAGGGTTCTGAGTTTGATCCACAGTCAGGTCTGTGTGTGGGTTTTGTGCTCAGAGTTGCAGCCTTCACATCCACCAGAGATAAAAGGTCAAGGAATTTGAAGAATATTCCATAATGTAGTATACAAAATTATCAGTAGCATTCATTGAAGTTTATTAAACTTAAAAATGGGAATAATGTACGGCAAAGTTGTTAAAGTCTCCGGTACCAAACTGCAATCCGTGGAGGAGTTTATGGGACACATGGAAAATTTCATTTATGGTATAACGCAAATTATGCTTTGTTACAAATCAATATGGCTTAAAATTAGAATGGCCCAGCAAATTTTTGTGGAAGTCTCCTATTTTGAATCATCTGTGAAACAGTTAATGGGATATATGGAAGAACCCATTTATGGCCTTACGCAAACCAAGGTTTTTTTCTGTATCTGTATGGATGAAAATGGGAGTTGCTCAACAACTTTTAGTGAAAGTGTCTCATACTGAATTTTTAGAAGATCTGGCCAGCAGGTTAGATGCTGATACTAAGGTCACAGATGGACAGGTGTGGCCTCCACATGATGTTTTCCTTTGTAACGCATACCTAGAAGCTAGAAGAAATGGAACAGTGAGAGAGAATTAGTTGTAAAGCACTGGAAGGTAAATAAGATTGTGTTGGTATGTTTTAATATTGAATACAGATACGTGGTGCTATCAGAAAGTTCCCAAAATTTGAATTTTGCGTGCGAATGGTTATGAGTACATCAAAATATCGCTAGGTGTCTTCTCACACACCCTTCTTGAATCACTGTGGTAAGCGGCGAGTTGAGTGGTTGGATTTATTGTTGGTGAACGTATTTCCATTGTTTTG